TGGTACAATTTAAAACTTTAACAATGTTTACATACTACATCAAACTTTTGCATTTCAAAAATACAAGGAAAATTCAGTTTTCCATGATGTGGACACTTCGGTATGCTAATTAAAAAAATGCTGAATGATCAGCTGTCTACAAACTAGTGCATGAAAATACTGATCTGCAACCAGATTCATGTAAAAAAGATTGGGAATTAATGATGTTTCAGGACAATGTTTTCAAAAATTATATTCAGTGAAACGAGAATGTTGCTAGCTGTTTATTACAAAGTTAATACTATTCTTTAAATTGATTATTTGGCTGAAAGTTAACCCAGTCCTTCTCTCTCTTACCCCAAATGGAGTTGATCAGCCAAACCTTGTATGGTGTCTGTTTGTTTATCTATAAACATGGACAAAAGAACGTTTCAGAGCTAAAAACAGCAGCTAGATAACAGTGTATCATACAGGATCAGAAACCATATAATCAAGACTATTAGAGATACTGAACAACTCCACAGTCTGAGATGAGTGAGATGATTTAGCTATGCAGTTAGCACCATGCTAATTGGTGTACATAAGCTTCTATTACATGCTAGCAGTGGGGAACCTTCAGGGCCTACTAGGCCTTCAGAGAAGGACAAAAAGTTTCTGTAAAATAAAAAATATCCATTTGTACAGAATCACCATGCTTTGCAAGTACTATAGCACATGCATTGATAAACAAAAGGCTTGAAGTCTTGAAATATAAATTGTCCAATCAGGATTGTTTCCTCTGTCGTATCTAGGTAGATACAGCCAAGCAAGCTCTCCCATTGGTTAGGACTTCAGGAGCTGGACTGGAAGATAAATGCTGTGTTTGAGTGGTGGGAAAACTGGAAAATACCAGATCCCCCATTTGTAAATAGCTCAGAATTCTAGATTATACACATATTTAAAAGATGTCTAACGCAATCGTTCACCTTTCACATGAGTGAAAAACGACAGAAAAAGTAGTGAATGTGAAAAATTACATACCTGATGCGCTTCTATTAGATCTATCTGCTTTTTAACGGCATATAAAAAGCAGGATTGTGTTCTCTGGACCTCCATGCTGTCTTTCTCCATGTGGTGGGTGTTTCTAAGAACAAGCACCCAAACGGAGTGAAGATTTACTAGTTAACCATCTGGTATATACAACCTTCCGATGAGCACCTCAACACATCATAACCACCAAGATATTTAGAATCAACCAATCACGCTTTGATTTATAAGGAGTGGGTGAGGAAAAACATCACTTTAGTCCTCGTGGAGGTTCTAGATATGTCACTGACTGTGAAAACGATCTGTAGACTAAGCAGGTTCTGGTTAGTTGATAGGAATGTAAAACAGCAGCAGCAGCTCTATGCAGGACTCTTTACTGAAAGAGTAAAACTGATACATACAAGCTCAGATATATGAAAATGTCTGTTACAAGATTCAAATAAAGCGTCTGGGTCATTCTAAAGAAACGTCCACTTTTCTATCTCTCCATAGGAGTCATTGGTGTCACTGATCCTCACTGGTGTTACACATAATAAAGGAACACCAGAGACATTTTTAATGAAAAATGCATTTTACAGAATGGCTGCTACAGAGCATCAAACCACATGTTGTCAATCATGGAATATCCACTAAAATATGGAATTTGATCCATTTGTATTCTATTTTTTCAGTTACCTCAGAATAAAGTCGGTCACACCAGTGACTTCAGCTAAAAGCTTCATATGAAATCATGAGCTAAATGAGAAAATCTCTGATAACTGAAAGACACAGTGGACTCACCATGAGCTTTTCTTCATAGATCCTCAGAAAACAGGTAAAAGGAAGTCAAGTGATGTCATCAGTGTGACTTTTATTTCAAAATAAGAGATTTTTTTGTTACGCAGTAACACCAGTGACACGACTCCTGGGGACAACTTTCAGTAAATATTTTATAATATTAATTTGGCATTTGTTTTCTTTGTCATTTAACTTATATATTCCATAGTCATGTTTAGATTATTGTAGTTAAATTTGCAGAAAAATGTGTTTTTTTCTTCAAAATATGACACCCTTTACACACGCTCTTCCGTGGTGCTTGGAATTCTATATGATTGATTTAAAAACCAATATTGCTGAATTGAGGCTCAAGAAGGTGTAACTGTTAAAGTTACGTATTGTTTTATTTTAAAATATAAATAAATTGTAACTCTAACATGTTTAGGTGTAATATATCTGTAAACGCTAGGGACACAAAAATGGACATTTCTGTAGAATGACCAATAGAATGTCTTTTTTGAGCTTCAAATGTCCAGGTTTAATCTAGAACAGCCAGAAAATGTTCATGTGCACCAGCATTAGCTTTGCACTACTGTACTGTTAAAAAACAAATATTACTATTAGCAGAAATCTCATTGGGGTGCTAACAGAAATTAGCATCACAGAGGTGTTTTTACCACCTTCTTGATGTTTATGGCCCAAATTTAAGGCCGAGCTCTAATAGTCACAGTTCACAACTGCCTGCTAGCTAAATTAGCCTCATAGCACCGATGCTAAACCTAAAGAAGCAACCTAAAGGAAGGTTTTGGCTGAACTATCGCTTTAATATGGACGCAGATCTACCGGATCCAGTTTGAATGAGCTATTCTGTGTGCTGTTTCATTACTGGCTCTGTAGCTTCTCGCAGTATCGCTCACAGTGAAATCCTGCCACACATACTTTCACTCTGGACGCTGTTCTAAATAACCGCGCTCGCTTCGGGCGATGACCAAAAACTTCACCAAGTCCAGAAAATCAGCTCCGTATCACATCCCGGCCTTTTGCTTTCTGTAAACAGACATTTAAGCCGGGCTGAGATGACTGCAGGGATAAAAGTCAATCAACACACTCCCGGAGGATTAGTGGCCATCAGCGCGCCGGACTGGAGCTGCCCGTTATTTTCATAATGAAGCACATATTACATTCCCCCCTCATGTACACTGGCAGAGGCTTTGATGAGCAGCTATTTACCCGCCGTCATCTTCAGTACTGTTTGTTTTACTTTATTCAACCCCCCAACCCTTTTTTTTCATGTGAATAATAGAAGCCCGTGCGCCTGGGCTGCTGGGAAAATGGGCCGTTTCTGCAGATGCTTTGAATTTGCAGAGCTTTTCCTCGGCGGGGAGAGAGGGGAAAACCTGCCTGTATTTCCGGGGGATCGGGGGATTACTGCCCAGATTGGTGTCCTTCCTGGAGGTCCGTATGGGAACTGACCCCATCCACAACGGTCACACTCACAGATGGCACGATACCACTTTTTCTTTCGCCGATATCAATACTGATACCGACAGCTTGGGTATCGGCCGCCGCTGGCCCTAACCTGCTGTTAAAACTTCAAGCACTCTACAAACAACCCAGACAAGCCAAGCCCTCTACTACCAACACAGAGAAGTACATTTGAGCTAGAACACAGAAACTGGACATCTAAGGTTTTTGGACTGATTGAGACCTTTGGAAGTAATGTATGTGTAGTATGTGCAGGATGTGCCATGGGGAACCAACGAAAAACTCTTCAAAACATCAGTTCAAGCAGGGTGGAGGATCAGTGCAGGTTTGGGGATCTTTAAGGAGTCGGTGATGAATGGCGATTAGCACAGCTCTGGAAAACGTTTAATTGGGAAGAAATTAGTTCTACAGTAAGATAACGACCCCAAGCACGCTGCTGAGATCCAAACGTGCAAATCAACAAACAATCTGCTGGAGTTTGGAGAGAAATGGACTGACCAGCCCAGAGTCCAGACCTCAAGACCACTGAATGTGTCTGCTTACTTCAGAAAATGATCAACCAGCTTCTAAAACTGAACTTTGGAGGTGTGTCTGCAGATTCTTTGAGGAACTGAAAGTGAGTCTCCTGAAAAGAATGGAAGCTGTAAAGGCAAATGTTACTTTATGCTTATATATATATATATATATATATATATATATATATATATATATATATATATATATATATATATACACACACACACACACACACACATACATACACACACACATATATATACATACATACACACATATCATTGCTGTCGGAAGAAAATTTTCTCCATTTTCGTTTTTCAGTTTTTGACCTAATTTGAAAATACATGTTTTGCTTTATATTCTGTGTAAATTTCATGATGAATGGACTAAAAGAAATGACCCATTGACTTACATTAAAAGTAAAGTATGTTTTTTCCTTCTCCTGTAAAGTTAGCATTTTGGAGATACAAGGTTTTCTTCCGACAACAGCAAATTATATATATACCCCTTGAAAATTTACTAACTTGTATTTAAAGGCTGTTTTGAATGAAAATGAAATAAATGAAGGGTGGTCTCTTTTTTGCACAGTACTAAACGTGTGTACATATATATATATATATATATGTAAAGCTGATGACTCCTAAAAAAGCTGGTTCTTCAAAGGGTTCTTTAGTAAGGAAAACAGTTCTATGTAGAGCCATGAACACTCATAGAACCCTTTGCATAATTTAAGAGTTCTTTACATCAAAATGTGCATGAACGTGCTATACACAGTTCTACACAGAACCTTTCTAAAAAGGGTTCTTCTATTGCTACAAGCTTGACATTGTAACAACAGAAGAACCCTTTTTGGATCTACAGCACATTCTCCATCAGTCTGAAGAACGCTTTCTTTGAGTGCTCACGGTTTTACATAGAATGAATTTCCTTACTAAAGAACCATCTTTAAGAGTGTAGTTTGGAAGAAGTCAAGCCGATCCAGCAGTTGAGCAACTAAACAGGCGTGTAGCTTCTCAACCCTGTGAATGAGTCAAACAGCTCTTCATTGAGGACGGTGTTTGTATGAGGGTGGAGGAGTGAGTCACAGCGGAGCTGCACTTACATACACACTCCTCTCACTCCTGCTCTCCCACTGAGGGCACAGAGACGAGAACGCCAGTCGAGAAATGTCCAGCAATATGGCGCCATCTACTGGTAGCATTAAGAACTATGACAACACAAAGAGAAAAGGACGCTCATTTCTCAGCCCAATATTTTACTAAAACATTGTTCTTACACGTAATCTATATAATCTGTAAGTAATGCACATCATAGACAAAAAAAATAAACACAACAAAAAGAGACAAAAGGATGGAAACAACAAATAGGCACAGCACAAACACAAAACAAAAGTGCACCAACCACTTTCCATTTACAACATAATCACAGCACTGCCACCACCTGGAATGCCACAATCCATCGTTAAACATTAATCCTTCATTATAAACATTATAAATACCGCAAGAGAGACCAGTATCATGACAAAGTGCCCACAAGACAGCATCACCTCCACCGTAAGCATGGCAACACCAATAAGACAAGTACACAAAGAGCATATCTAACAGAAATATTCTCAAATTGAGTGCCTCTCCATAAAATTTTACCAAATAAATCTTTTCTTTTTCTTTTTAATTCTCAGAAAATCTGAAACGAGCATAAAAATTCAGGGGGTATAAATTCAGTTAGCGTCAAGTTTCGCCATTTCCTGCACGTAGATCCCTATGCTCTCGCTGTCAAACAGAACGAAGTAGACTGTTTTGATTGAGGATGACATGGTAGACACAAAGTAGCTGGAGATGGCCTTCAGGATGAGCTGGGCGGCCGTCTGCTTCGGGAAACCGTTCCTAAACAGAGAGAAACAGTTTGATTAGATCAGAAACAGCGACTCTGTAAAACAATCAGGGAACACGACAGCTGGCTTTAGTGTTAAATGTTGAGGCTGTACATCATATATACACCGATCAGGCATAACATTATGTCCATTATTGCCCATTTGATCAGATCCACTTACTATAGTTCTACAGTTACAGACTGTAGTCCATCTGTTTCTCTGCATACTTTGTTAGCCCCCTTTTACCCTGTTCTTCAGTGGTCAGGACCCCCATGGACCCTCACAGAGCAGGTACTATTTGGGTGGTGGATCATTCTCAGTACTACAGTAATGCTGATGTGGTGGTGGTGTGTTAGTGTGTGTTGTGCTGGTCTGAGTGGATCAGACACAGCAGCGCTGCTGGAGTTTATAAACACCTCAGTGTCACTGCTGGGCTGAGAATAGTCCACCAACCAAAAATATCCAGCCAACAGTGTCTTGTGGGCAGCGTCCTGTGACCACTGATGAAGGACTAGAGGATGACCAACACAAACTGTGCAGCAGCAGATGAGCTATCGTCTCTGACTTTACATCTACAAGGTGGACTGACAAGGTAGGAGTGTCCAATAGAGTGGACGGTGAGTGGACACAGAGTTTAAAAACTCCAGCAGCACTGCTGTGTCTGATCCACTCAGACCAGCGCAACACACACTAACACACCACCACCACGTCAGTGTTACTGCAGTGCTGAGAATGATCCACCACCCAAATAGTACCTGCTCTGTGAGGGTCCATGGGGGTCCTGACCACTGAAGAACAGGGTAAAAGGGGGCTAACAAAGTATCAGAGAAACAGATGGACTACAGTCTGTAACTGTAGAACTACAAAGTGCACCTATATAGTAAGTGGAGCTGATAAAATGGACAATGAGCGTAGAAACAAGGAGGTGGTCAGAATGTTATGCCTGACCGGTGTGTAGAAATATGGGCGATTGATTTGGAAGCTGTTTGCTAATTATATCGCCAGAGAGGGACAGAAATTGACTCCTACACACTTAAAAAAGATGGTTCTTCAAGGGTTCTTCAGTAAAGAATATGGTTCTATATAAAACCATTAACACTCAAAGAAGCCTTTGCACAATTAAAGGGTTCTTTGTATAGTGAAATGGTTCTTCAGATTGATGGAGAATGTGCTGTAGATGGTTCTATATAGAACCTTTTTAAAAAGGGTTCTAAATAGCACCAAAAACAGTTCTTCTATTATTACAACCATGAACACTTAAAATATACAGAACCGATTTGAAAATGGCTCTGCATAGCACCCAAAAGGTTTCTTCTGTTGTTACAATGTCAGGCTTATAAAAATAGAAGAACCCTTTTTGGTGCTATATTGAACCATATACACCACATTCTCCAATAATGTGAAGAACACTTTCAAAAACCTTTTAGGGTTCCTCAGATTGATGGAAAATGTGCATGAATGTGCTATAGACCCTTCTATATGGAAACTTTTTGGAAAACGTTCTATATAGCACCCAAAAGTGTTCTTCTATTGTTATAAGCCTGACATCGTAACAACAGAAGAACCCTTTTGGGTGCTAAACAGAACCATTTTAAAAACGGTTCTATATAGAACCATATACAATACATTCTCCATCAATCTAAAGAACCCTTTCACGATACAAAGAACCCTGTAATCATGCAAAGGGTTCTTTAAATGTTCATGGTCCTTCATAGAACCATTTTCTTTACTGAAGAACCTTTAAAGAACCATCATTTTTAAGAGCGTAGTTTAAAAGCTGCCCTCAGTTTTCCAGACAAATTGTCACGTTTCACCCATCAGCATCTTTTCTGCACTGAAAGATTCCAGTTAAATCATTTCTGCACTGTTTTTGTTCTGGTTCTGTAAAGTGAAGTTTGGAAGTTTTCTTAGCTAATTGTTCTCAGTGCTTTGTACTTTCCCTTGATGGCAATAAAACGGCATAATGGATGTTTTTCACAGTTCGGCTCTACTGCTACTTCTGGAAAAGAAAGCCTTGTGAGCTGATTCAAATCAGTTTTTCATTTATTGTGTGAAACTCACTAAGTTTCACTAAACGCTACCTTTATCTACAATATTTAAACAAAACAAACCAAACTTAAATACAACCAAAATTAAACCAACAACCAAAATAAACAACAAAACCAAAAAACCAACCAAACAACAGGACATCCTGGAGGACATCCACAGCACAAATACACAGCTGTTCAAAAGTTTGGAATCAGTGTTTTAAATCAAATACAAACAATTTGTTTTTTAGACAAATGTATTCAGTGATTCTAACGTCCAGCTCCTGTTCAACTTCACTAGTTTCAGATAATTGATGGGAAGTTTAGAGGGGAAACAAGGAACTGTTGGACGTCTCTAAGAGCTTTTTTGACAATTAACTGAGTAATTATATACACAATTTATAAAACAAAACATCTCATTTTACTTTGTATACACGTAATTTCACGTAGCCTTGCTGGTGATATCCAGTATAAATAAAAATAATGCATGGCCACACCATGTTAATGTGTGGGAACGAGATCCTAATGTAGGGCCATGACTTACTAAGTCGTGGCCATGATATAATTATCCCTTTCCCTCATCTTACTAAGTTGTGGCTACCCATTAAGATCTCATTCTCACGCCTTACTAACAAGATCATGTCTTATTAAGCTGTGGTCAAGGCTTAATTACCTCTTTACCACATCTTATTAAGTCGTGGCCAAGCATTAGGATCTTGTTCCCACACCTTACTTACTAACGAGAACATGTCTTATTAAGTTGTGGTCAAGGTTTAATTATCTCACTCCCCCACCTTACTAAGTCATGGCCACAACATAATTATCTCTTTCCCACACCTTACTAAGTCATGGCCACGCATTAGGATCTTGTGCCCACGCCTTACTTACTAACGAGATCATGTCTGTGGTCAAGGCTTAATTATCTCATTCCCATACTTTACTAACACATGGCAATAACATAATTATCTCTTTCCCACAACTTACTAAGTCGTGGGCACGCATTAGGATTCCGTTCCCATGCTTTACCTACTAACGAGATCATGTCTAATTAAGCTGTGGTCAAGGCTTAATTATCTCACTTCCACACCTTAATAAGTCATGGCCACAACTTAATTATCTTGCTCCCACGCCTTACTCAGTTGTGGCCATGCATTAGGATCTTGTTCCCCTGCCTTATTTAATCGTGGCCATGCATTATTTTTATTTATAAGGGATGTCACCAGCAGGGCTCTGTACAATTTAAAACAATGACGTTCATAGAGATCCTGCTGGTGTGGGTTTCCTCTTTTTCAGTGATCACCACAAAAGCAGCCTGTGTGCTAATAGCGCCCCCGTGTGAAGAATGTTCAAAAAACCTAAGACAGCGTAATTATTAGTTGATTTTAAAATATATTAAATATATTAAATAAATATTTAATATTACATAATACGTTTTAAATATGTAATTTTTAAAAAATAGTTTGGTTTTTAAAATAAAGAAATTGATTTTAATAGAGTAATCGTGACAGCCTCACGTGTCCAGAACGATGAACAGGGTATGATTTCTAAAATTTTAAATCAAAACTGAATATCCAGAATGCCCTGCGGCGATTAAATCTTTAGGCCATCTTCTTGACAAAAAATAATTGAAAATAAATTTTAACAGAACATAATGTATCATTTAACATAATAATAATAATAATAATAATAATAATAATAATAATAATAATCCTGGGAAAATGTTCCTAACCTGAATATAACATCTAAAAATACTTATTTGCGATTCAGTATATGATATTTGACACTACATAACACAAGTTAATATTATACAGAAAAAACAAAGACTTATTAATATGACGAGTGATTCCACACTTGTGAACAGTACTGCACCAATAAGGCAGTATCTCAGAGCTTTTACCTGCCGCTGCCGATGGAGGGGAAGGCGACGGATTTGAGTTTTTTCTCGTCAGCCAGAGCCAAGCAGTTCTTCACCGTTTTATCCAGAAGCTCTTCGCACTTGTCGGATCCCCACCCGGGACTGTTACAATGGATCACAAACTTAGCCGGGAGCCCGTAGCCTGAGGTCAGGACCGCTGAGGAAACAAGAACAGATTTCATTACAGAAAAACAATAAAACCCCCACAGTGCAGTGAGCACTGCTCCAGCTGAGGGGAATGAACCCCTGGCAAAGCACTAACGTTCTCTGATCTCCTGAGGACTTTTAGAGAAGCTCCAGATTCACTCCATTTCCCAAAAACAACAGATTAGCGCCGCTGAGATGTGAGATTAGACACTGATCGTTTCTCCAGAAGGAAAAGGATTCTGGAAGCCACACGAAGAGCAGCTCCGATCACTGAAACCTTCCCACAGGAACTCTGCATACAGTCAGATTTTGGGCGAGAATAAGAACTCAATTTGATAAAAAGACAAAAGTCAACTCGACTGCTGATATAAAAAAATCTCAATGATAATATTAAGACACAGCACATGCCCAAAAGCCTCTACTCTTCTGGGAAGGCTTTACACTAGATGTTGGAACATTGCTGTGAGGATTTGATTGAGCATTAGTGAGGTCAGGTACTGATGTTGGATGGTCAGTTCTGGATCACTCCAACTCATCCCAAAGGTACTGGATGGAGCTCCATCACTCCAGACAGCACAGTTCCACTGCTCCACAGACCAATGCTGGGGGGCTTTATACCCCTCTAGCCTACACTTGGCATTTGGCATGGTGACCTCAGGCTCATGTGGCTGCTCCAGTGTGTCTCATTCTATTGGGTATTGCAATGTAATGCAATATCAGCAATGGGTGACCTATGGGGGTAGTAACTGAATAAGGGCTGTCCGGATACCTTTTGTAGCGTACATGATATTTTTGGTTAACGGTCATCAACTGTATGTTCTTAACCATAATTCAATTCGATTTAAAAGGTAACTCAGACTGCATGGTGGTGGACAATGGTGTAGCCATGGCAACCAAAACAACCCCACAACAACAGGGTTCTGTAATCAAGATATTAGATAACAGACGTAAAGTTACCTTTAAAGTAACTTTGAATGCAACTTCAGTTCAAGTACGAGTTGTTGAAGTTGGTGAACACATCATGCAAACACAGTTAGCATTTGTTCAGTAACAGCTGGCTGTGAAATACAGATGAAACATCATTCAATCAACTTGTCCTTGGTATTGGACTGCACAAAAAAGGTGATGGCATGGCAAAATGGAGAATGGAGAAGTCTTCATCGTTATACCCTATAAAACATGCTAGTAAGTTTGTCCACTGCTGGTTGCTGAGGCTCGAAGAGACATTTGTTTGCGTAGGACGAACAGTAAACCACAATTTTTGATAAGCAATTTGGCTTCTCTAGTGTTGTACGTTCTCATATTTAGGAACCATACGCTGTCTGAACTCCTGAACACCAGAGGGCAGTGTGGAGCAGCATCTAATGTTCTGGTTAGAGTTTCTGGTCTGTTTAGTCTAGTAAAGGAAACAAAAAGACTACTGCAGCCATCTAAAGGCACACCAGACTAGAAGCTCTGCACTGCACAGCTGATCACTACAGCACATAGAAAAGCTCCGATAAACATCAAACTCAGCATCACTTTACCCTCTACTGTGCACAGTGTTACGACTCCCGGTCATAGTTACCTTTCTGTGTTTTCCCTTTTAACCTCTTCAACTCCTTGAGACCACCAGTGGTTCCAAAATGCACTTCGTCATATTCTTCATAACGTTCATATTTCATAAGCTACATTCTAAAGGTGGGGGTCATATGAGAGCTGTGACCGTCTTCTTTCCAGTCAAATAGATGGGTGATGTCATTTTAAACCCTTATAATAAAAGAAGCTGAACTCACAATGTTTTGTCTACTGAAAGTCGACCCATTTTTCCACAAATCTGGGCTATAAACTATAAACAGATGGCGTCTCTTCAGTGATCTGCTCTGTAAACATTATTTTTATAAAAAAAATACAAAGAGATTTTTGGCTTTCAGCAGTAAATTGTAAGCATATAGCAATATGTGTATGATCATGAAACAAAATAAATAAATAAATGAAATAAAAATGTACATTTACTTCATGCAGTTACTGAATAATTTGCCTCACGATTTGGTCATGTAAATTCAGATGGACAAACCAAAATATACCCTGGAGAATGAGAGGTTAAAAAAATGGCACGACCCCACAATTTGTCTAGGGCGCTGTGGGATCAGTAACATGTGGCATTAAATTCTGAACTGGTGAGAATGGATTAAAAGCTTGAGGAACAGACCAATATAGAGCTTTTGAAGCCACTTTATTAAAACAAACCGTAATAAAACTGGGGTGCTGTGATATCTAGTACCACGCTGGAAGAATCAAACTGTGGACAGCACCAAAGAAAAGAACAAAACCAAACCGAACCACGCTGCCTGCTCTGAAACAACAAGTATTTATCTAACCTAAAAGAAAGAAAACAAAAGCTAACTGCTCTAAACTTCCCTGGCCATTAATCAGAAGTACATGTGGTGGTTCCCTCTGACCTACGGAGCCAGACAGAGTAGACATCTACGTGGTATAAGTGTATAGGTGCCCCTCTTACCTGTTTGAAACCCCAGGTGGTACAAACAGTCTCTTGTATAACAAAGTTAAAAGTGTGCAGGTAAAATACCACCACTTTTTCACCTCCACAACAGTAGGGGGAGTCTGTACACCCTCCACCTCTGGGGCTCGTCCGGGATGTTGTTATCCCTTGTAATCTGGCATTTTAATGAGCTTTAAGGAACTCTGGCTGTTAGCATGAGCTAGATGCTAATGCTATCTTGTCTCATTTGATTTTAGAGCTTTTTAGTGTTTGAAGCTACTTGAGTTTGTTAGACGGATGATGGTGAAAGTAGCTGGTCACTCCAGTATTCCCATTTTGTGAAAGTTTTAAAAAGGCATTGTTTTAGATTCGTTGGTTGAGCTTGGTCTTGTTTGTGGGTCCATCTGACTGTCAGGTGAGGTGGAAGGTGTACAGACTCCCCACTGTTGTGGGGGTGAAAAAGTGGTGGTATTTTACCTGCACACTTCTAACTTTGTTTTACAAGAGATTGTTTGTACCACCTGGGGTTTCAAACAGGTGAGAGGGGCACCTATACACTCATACCACGTAGATGTCTACTCTGTCTGGCTCCGTAGGTCAGAGGGCACCGCCATATGTACTTCTGATTAATGGCCAGGGAAGTTTAGAGCAGTTAGCTTTTGTTTTCTTTCTTATAGATTAGATAAATACTTGTTGTTTCAGAGCAGGCAGCGTGGTTCGGTTTTGTTCTTTTCTTTGGTGCCGTCCACAGTTTGATTCTTCCAGTGTGGTACTAGATATCACAGCACCCCAGTTTTATTGTGGTTTGTTTTAATAAAGTGGCTTCAAAAGCTCTATATTGGTCTGTTCCTCAAGCTTCTAATCCGTTCTCACCAGTTCAGAATTTAATGCCACATGTTACTGATCCCACAGCACCCTAGACAAAACATGGGGTCATAACAGTTAATGGAGCGAAACTTCCAGCATCATTTAGGGAGTTTATCAGGTTTGGTATCTGATAACTAAATCTTCACAAACTCACAGTTTTCCACACTACAAAAAATAATATCTTAGAAAGTGAAAACCTATTAAATATGGTCAATAATCAATGTAGTCAATATATTTATATCTATGAGATTACTGTAAGAATTATTTAAGATCATTCAACTTATTTCTAGACATATCTTAATTGTTTTAAGTCATCTATCTTATGAGAGTGTCGTTCCAGTGGGAGACCATTTTAATTTTCTACCCTTCTGTTACCTTTAAATTTACAAACTTTTTTCATCCTTGGGGTCAATTTGTCCTCACGTCACCTGCTTCATGCACCAATACAGGTATGGGTGATACATGTATGGTAAAATGTAGATTTTTTTATGGTTTATACAGCAAAACAGCCTGGGGTCAGAGATGTGTACAAGATGTGTAGAGAACACTGAATTAAATATGAAGTAAAAAAAATGGTCTCAGTCATTTATTTAGAAATTAAAAATTGAATGTGGTCAAATTGATCCCAAAGATAATAGAAGGGTTAAGCATTATTTCTCAGAATAAACAAAATTACCTTTACTAATTCTCGAAACAAGTAAAATGATCTGCCACTTTCACTAGATATGATACAATACACTGTCAGATCTCTCTGAATTTTTTCTTGCATCATAGCAGCTCCATGGGAAAATGGGGAGCAGGGTGGGGTGACTTTCACAAACAATCAGACAAACACAAACATTACATAATCCACAACAATACACTTTACACCATCACCAGATTCCATTATACACCCTACAACCCCTACCTGAACAATATCTGTACATGTTACTACCTGAGCACTTATCTAAACAGTTCGCTCTCAGTTATCACGATTGATAAAATTACCTAAAACAAGGAAAAATGTATAGAAAAAAGTTGAATAATCTTATTCTCATGAGCTAAAAGGTGCAAAGTGAAATAAGCTACGATCTGACTAGACTAGTGACGCTGGATGAGGTGAAAACAGAGGACTGTCATTTGTCTGTTTATATTAAAGGATTTAGACTGATGACTTTCTCAGTGTCAATCAAAATAATCATTATTGTTCTTTATTGGACACAGCAGTAAATTCACACAGGACTCTATAGCTAACAAAATAACCAGACGAAAGTACGCTGAGAGCCCCTGCAGACGGTGGGTCCCGTGTGTCCCAGCACTTCTGCAGTACTTTCCCTAATTGGTTCTAGCTGTTCGTTTGTAGCGTAACTCCCTCTTACATCAGCCACCACAGCAAAGACCAACAAGCGCTGCGAGCTTAAAGCCCAACTTCATTAACAACGAACACTCCGCTGGAGCTGTGACAGCTGGACTCCTTACAGCTGCAGAAACAAGCCGAGCTCCAGATGTTTCCAGATGTTTCTTGGTCGAGCAGGAAGCCCACAATGTCCCTCTGCAGTTTAACACCATTCGTCTCATTAACTAATCATCAAGCTTATTTCATTTAACCTGTTAAATGTCCAGATCTGAAACGCTCAGTTTTCTCTGGTCTCTCTCTGAGAGGAAGCTTTTCAAACTGATCA